AAAAGATCCAACCTGAACCCCAAAAGCACATGTGCCGTTTTAAATTTTTAAAATATTAAATGGAAATTGTTCTGGTTTTGAGTCAGCCTCGACTCTGGCTGTCGGATCAGGGCCTTGGTGTGCTTTTCCCAGCTTCCGCTCATTTCCGTGCCGATCTGGCTCCTGCGGAAAAAAGGTGGCTGTTTTTAAAAGAGTAACATAGACCGATGCAGGAAAAGGGCTCCTTGTTGGCTAACCCTCAAGAGCTTAAGACATGCAATCGAAACCCTTCCTAAATGTCAGCCTATTTCAAAGTTCACACAGACAGACAGGGCTTGTATGTCTTCTGCAGCAGCTAGAGGTATTTGAAACCTCCTTCTAAAAGCTAGTATTTGATTTTAAAAAATCATGCCAATTTGTTCCAGTAGATCCATTTACACCCCTTTCTTCTCAATGGGGAACTCAAAGCAATTTAAATCATCTTCATCTCCTCTATTTTATACTTAACAACAGCCCTGTGAGGTGGGTTAGGCGGAGTAATTTGTGACTAGCCCAAGGGCACCCAGCAAGCTTCCATGGTAGAGGGGATTTAAACCATGGGTCTCAGTTTGGATACTCTAACCACTGTCCCATAAACAAGAGCCCAGTAGCACTTAAGGGACTGACAAAGTTTATTCTGGTATGTGGGCCTGAATCAGAGCCTGCATCCATTTAGCAGATGCATCTCTCCCCAGGGTTGGCAACAGTGCTCCTTCTAAGCTGTGGAGTCTTGTGAGCAAAAATTCTGCTTTGTGAACTACTGGCCTTAAAGTTGTGAGCGAATGATTTGGCTGCTGCATAAATCCGTTTGCTCTGGAGCCCTCCTTCCTGAGCGAAGACAAAAATGTGTGAGCCGGAGGCTAAAAAACTGTGAGCTAGCTCACACGCACTCAGCTTAGAGGGAAATCTGGTTGCCAACCTCCAGGTGGGGCCCAGAGATCTCCCAAAATTGCAGTTTATCTACAGACTAGAGCAGCTCCCCTGCCTGAAATGTCAGTTTAAGGGCACCCTCCCCTGCCCAAACCCCACCCTGCTCAGGCTACATCCCCAAATCTCCAGGAATTTCCCCGATAAAGAGTTGGCAATGCCCCCGTCTTTGCTTAGAACGGCTCGTAGTATCTAATGAAATGCACTCCGAGTCATAAAGCCTGCTGGCAGACTTTAAGGGGCCTTTGGTCAAATTGCGCAAAAGTCTCAATGTAAGGTTGCCATCCTCCAGGTGGGGCCTGGAAATCTCCCGCTTTTACAACTGATCTCCAGCTGACAGAGATCAGCTCCCCTGGAGAAAATGGCTGTTTTGTTTATTTATTTATTGCTAAATTTGTACCCTGCCCTCCCCGCAGAGCAGGCTCAGGGGGGTTTCCAAGTAACATAAATACAGAATAAAACATACATAATTAAAACACAACAGCTAAGAATAGTACAATACAAAATGCTAGCAGCGATTAAAAATTCAATTCAATGGGATGCTTTTAAGTGGATTTCCAACAGTACTAGATGTTTTTCTGCTCGTCGGCTCTCATGGCAGCTGCTCGATGGTAAAGTTACGGGCCGGGCGCTACAGTGGCAGTGGCCCCTAACTAAATGCCTGGCGGAAGAGCTCCGTCTCGTAGGTCCCGCAGGGCCCTGATCTCCTCCGGGAGCTCGTTCCACCAGGTAGGGACCGCCACCGAGAAGGCCCCGGCCCTAGTAGCAGCTAGCCTGGCCTCCCTCGGGCCAGGGAGGGTCAGCCGGTTTTGAGACCCAGACCGTAGTGCTCTCTGGGGTATATTCGGGGAAAGGTGGTCCCATAGGTATGTTGGATCCCAGCCATATAGGGCTTTAAAGGTAAAGGTTAGTACAGTGGTGGCGAACCTATGGCACGGGGGCCAGAGGTGGCACTCAGAGTCCTCTCTGTGGGCACGCGTGCCATCGCCCCAACCAGGCCCAGACCGTCATTAAACTGTGGAATTCTCTGCCAAATAATTTTAAGTAAATGAAAGCATTTGGGATTGCTTTCCTTACTTTGTTTGGATCATCTTAAGTTAATGTATGAGTTGTTTTTTCTAAAGTAAAACCTCAGTATTCAGGTGACATTGCCGTGTTGGCACTTTGCGATAAATAAGTGGGTTTGGGGTCGCAATTTGGGCACTCGATCTCTAAAAGGTTCGCCATCACTGGGTTAGTACATAGCTGAGCCAATAAAAGACTTGTTTCACTTTAGCCAAATTCAAACACATTGAAGTTTTACTGATTTCAATGGCAGGAACAAGCACATTTTAAAAAAACCCATAAAAGAATCCAGGTGATTCAAGCAACTGAGCCAAACCACACGTTACAGAAGACGGCAAATCCAAGGATCACTAACAAAATGGACCTGGATGAAGTTAAAGTCCTTACTGACCCCAAATACAGTGATCAGATAGAGCCTAAACTTGACAAATGAACAAACAGAAAAGCAAACCAGCCTGTTAATCAGGTTTCCTGACGGGAGAACCACTGTTCATTAGGGGTCTTCATCACCACAGTAGGCAAGGACTGTTGCTGGCAGGAAGACACAGACCCCAGAATTTAACTGATATAAACCAAGCAGTTTATTGAGGCACTACATATTAACATGCTACAATAGCATAATGAAATCCATACATTAACAACAAATAAATGGTAAAAAGCCAGTAAGTGGGGGTGGGGGTGAACCACACAATGCTAAAATGGTTACATAAAAATAACATGGAATACATGAATACAAATTATATGAACAGAGAATGCGTAAACTTCTACTCAGGCAGCATGACCAGTCCTCAGTAGAAGACAGGATGGACAGCAAGAAGGTTAATTTCTAGTTAAGCACTGCAAAGACAACCATGGAATGCTGCAAAATAATTCAAGAATCTTGAACATAGCTGCAATACAACTACGGCGTAACTTATAAAACAATCAAACTCAAACTAGGAAAGTGGCGTCAACTATTTTTTTCGTGGTCAGAGCGTATAGACCTAATTAAATCTTTCATTCTACCGAAATGTATTTTTCTGTTCCGTACGCTACCAATACACATCCCCCTACGTGACATTAAAATATTGCAGAATAGTCTTTTACAATTTCTTTGGGAGCACAAAAAAAGTAGGATTAGCTTCTATACTCTTCGCAAGTCAGCTAAAGATGGGGGTACCGGTTTCCCAGACCTGTTATTATACCACGATGCAGCTCAGTTTACTAATCTGACCAAAATGCTTCATCCTGACATGGCACAAGACTGGATTTTAATTGAACGAACTCTCTCTGACTCTCAGACCCTGCAAGAACTAATCTGGAATCAAAAACAAGACAGGCCTAAATCTCGAATTCAAAATCCTTTCTTACAATGCACTTTGGCAGTCTGGGAGAGATATCGCAACAAGTTGGCCCCTGCAATATCCCCATTGTCAACCTTTACGAAGCAACGTTGGTTCCCACCAGCTACCGCAGACAATTCTTTTGACAATTGGAAACGTATGGAGTTAAGCAGACTAATAGTTATCACCTCTAAGGGGCATATCCTTAACAAAAACACTCTAGAAGACAAAGGCCGTGATACGATCCCCTGGTACCAATATTTACAACTTCATCATTGTTTAGATAGTAAGCTGATGCGTGATAGGCTTAAAGTAAACCTCACAGTTTTCGAAATATTGATCAAAAATCCCCAGGGAAACTTTAAGAAATACATATCACTGCTATATTAAATGTTATTATCAGCAACTGACAACAACCTTCCCTTTTATACCACGTATTGGAGCAAGGATTGTTCCCAACCACTTTCCCCAGTCCAATGGGGTAAAGTATGGAGCTCCTCTATTTTCCGGGCAAAAAGCATATCAATTTGCACTCAATACTTCAAAGTAATCACTAGGTGGTATTTAACCCCTCAAAAACTGAGCTACATTGAAAAAGGTGCCTCACCATATTGCTGGAGAGGATGTCAAGAACTAGGCACCTATAAACATTGCTGGTGGGATTGTAGTGTTATCAGAAACTTTTGGAAATCGGTTGAAAACAAATTTATGACATAACTAATCTAGCGATCCCGACGGAAATGGAACCCTTAATACTAAAACATTGGACAGAAGTTATACGACTTAGTCATAGGCTTCAACTAATAGTTATAGCTAAATTTTGGCAGTTATAGCTAAATTTTGGAAGAATGACAAAACTTACTTATCTGATTGGTTTTTCAAAATTCAGGATTGTACAATGGACAAGCTAGCAGATTCTATGTCACCAGGAGATTCTGATTGGTATAACTCGGATTTTGTTAAAATTTGGTTTCCAGTTCTTGAATATTTCGTTTCACATAAGGAATTTGAACATATTCCGGAAGCCATCAATATATATTAATACTGGTTCTAAACGCTACATGAGTTACACCCCCCCTTTTTAATTTTTGTTCCTTTTTCTTTTCTTTCCCCCACTATATGTTGTATTACTATATTAATAACTGTTCTATGTTACAAATTCCAGAACTGTTTTTTGCTATTTGTTACATGATCAACTGTTTTATGTTATAAGACATGTATGTCTGCGATTGGTCTCTGTTATAGGCTCCAAGGACGTCTGTACAAGGTAGATGTTAATACTTTTCCGCCATGCTTGTAGTTGACATCGGTCACGAATGTATTTGATTATTAAAGACAATAAAGCTTAAAAAAGAGAGCAAAAATTTAGCACACGTTCTAAACTGGAAATCACTTTTTGCCTTTCTAATATTGGACTCTCTGGGTTTGTACCATGCTAAGGCCCCTCCCCTCCCCACACCCCGCCTTCTCCCAGATCCACCCCTAAAGTTTCCCAAGTATTTTCTAACCCAGACATGCCAACCCAATTTCAATGCGTGCAAACAACTCGCGCGCTCAAGGCGAAATAATGAGCAGAGGCCCGGGCCGTCGAGTCATCAAAGGAGGGGCGGGGCTTGTGTGACGACATCGGGGCGGTGGGCGGGTCCACCCGAGTCCCCAATAAAACGGCCGGGCGAGCGGCGGCGCCGGCGCTGCGCTTCGCTGACCTTCCGAGCGTCCTTCTCTCTCTCCACCGAAGCGGGCGGGCCGGGCACCCTCTCGGCAACCATCATGGCTCCCAGGAAATTCTTCGTGGGCGGGAACTGGAAAATGAATGGCGACAAGAAGAGCCTCGGGGAGCTCATCCAGACCCTCAACGGCGCCAAGGTCCCCGCAGACACCGGTGAGGAGCCGCGGCGCTGAGCCCGCCGGGGCGCGCGGGGCGGGCGGAGGGCGCGCGCCTGGAAGTGCGCGGGGCCCCTCTCGTGCGCCCTTCGTCCGGGGGTGTTCTGCGTGGGTCTCCTCCCGAGGAAGCATGCAACAGGGGATAGGACTGCTGCTGTTGCCGGGGGCGGGACGGTGGCCGGACTGGTAGTCGCAGTCGCCTTGGATGGATCCTGCCCGTCTGCCTAGCTAAGGCTTCCCTGGAGCCTCCGGGGACGGGACTAGCATGGGAGCCCGGGGGGGGGGGGTTAGGACACACCCCGGGCCGCCTCCAGCCCAGCAAGCGGGCTGCTCTCGGGAGGAGACAGCCTGGCTTTCGGTTGGGCACGCCTGGCTGCAAAAGGCCGACCGGAGGGCCCGGGGGCGAGGCGAGGCCGCGCGCCGGCTTTCCAAGCGCGCCTGGACCCGCCTCCTCTTCCTCTTGCTGCGTGCCCGCCCGCACGTCCTTCATGGCTCTGCCGGCTGCGGTCTCCTCTTCCTCCTGTTGCCTTTGCAGAGCCACACGGGGGAGGCGGGGGTGAGGCGGGAAAGTTGCCCAACCGCCCGCTCGCCTCCTCCCGGCACGCAGGGAGTTCAGAAGAAGCTTTTAGGAGACGCACTTGAGATGTTTCGTTTTACTTCTGCTCGGGCCGTGTGCAGTGTTCCCTCTAAGCTGAGTGAGTGTGAGCTAGCTCACAGTTTTTTAGCCTCCGGCTCACACATTTTTATCCTAGCTCAGTAAGGATGGCTCCAGAGCAAACTACTTTATGCAGCAGCCAAGTCACTTGCTCGCAACTTTAATGCCAGTAGCTCATAAAGTAGAATTTTTGCTCACAAGACTCCACAGCTTAGAGGGAACATTGCATGATTCTCACTCGGGCCCTTTTGCAGGCTCGAGGGGCAGGGGCAGCTTTGCTTCCGATGGAGACACCGGACCTTTCACCCCTCTCTCGATATTATTATTTCTAGGCTATCACTGGGGCTTTTACCTACACCTTTCCTGAATAAACTACCTGTGCCTTAAGAGGCTCAGGCCCAGCAAATGTAATTCTGCTGAGGCCTTTGCTCTTGAATTCAGTCCCACTAAGTCCCGGGCCGGGCCGTAGCAAGGGGGCGGAGATGCCTGGCCCTGCCCTGTTGGTGAACCTCCCTGGACTCTTTCACCACGGAGGCGGCACCTTTAAGACCAACAGAGTGTTGTTTTTTTCCAGGGTGTGAGGTTTTGTGTGCACTCACACTAACTCAGACAAAATGAAATTTCAGTCAAGCCGTGTTGGTCTTGAAGGTGCCGCTGAACTCAAACTCGGTTCCCCTGCTTCAGACCAATGTGGCTACACACTGGATTCTGTCTTTGTGGTCTGACCCAGTTCTGGCAAGGATCTCAAAGAGACCCAGCAAAGAAAGGGGACTCAGTTGGGGTCTAATTTCTTCTTCTGTTCTCCACCTTTATCCCATTCCTGGGAATAGGCCCTCTTTGCAGGTCTGGGAACTCCTGCTTGGCCTGGCACGGGAGGAGGGATGGTGTAGCCGGATGCCCAGCTCAGTGGGCAGCAAAGACAAACTTTGTCTGCCTGCCCTGGGTGTTGCTTGGCAGGGCTGTGTCAGTGCGAGTGCGGGGCCCTGCTCGGACTCAGGAGCGCCAGCGATAGGAGCAAAGTCTATCTGAGCCGAATGATTCGACTGGCAGGTTTCCTCTTCCCATCAATTTGGAAAGGGCAAAGTGGACCCAGGCGGGCTGCGGTTTCTGCGGGTGGGATCCTGAAGAAATGTCAAAGGGCTCGGAGGAGGTGGGATCCTAAAAATAGGTGCGGGGATCTAAAAATACCGGCTACTGTACTTGGAGCTGGAAACTCTATCCTCACGGTCTGCTAAAGGTCAGGAGACAGGCCCCGGCGGGAAGAAGGACCAGGGAGTGGGTGGGTACGTCAAGCAAGCTGCTCCGCTTGCTCACCCCTAGCCATACTTGACTGCCTTGCTTGGGAAGGGGGGTGGCCGCAGGCCCCTCTGGGGTCACCATCCCCAGCTACTGAGGTCTGTTACCAAAGGGGATCCACTCCACGAGGTCTGCTGTTCTTCCTTCCTTGGTATTTTGCCTGCCAGCTAAGTAAGGATTTTAACCCTAGAATATTATGCGTAAGTTGGATCGGGTGTATCCATTCTGCTAGCCCAGACACTTTTCTCTGGTGAGAGGGACCTCCCCCTGATGCAAGAACCTCTGAGAAGGAAGAAGAGATTGGATTTATGTCCCACCCTTCACTCGGAGTCTCAGAGCAGCTTACAACCCCTTTCCCTTCCCCACAACAGACACCCTGTGAGGTAGGTGGGGCTGAGAGAGCTCTTTCGAGGACTGCTCTTGAGAGAACAGCTCTGAAAGAACTTGTGACTGACCCAAGGTCACGCCAGCAGCTGCACGTGGAGGAGTAGGGAATCAACCCGGTTGTCCCCGATTAGAATACATGCTCTTAACCACTGCACTGGCTCTTACACCAGAGGAAAGCTAGAGGAACAGACCCACAGGTTACAACCGAAGGGATTTTGGGCTAGGCCCTAAAGGCCATGCCCACAAAAATATTTCCCAGAACGTAAGAAGTTCCGCTACAGTTGAGGGTAGTGCTGTCTTGACTACATAGAGGCCTGTTTTTTACTTGACCTTTGAAAGAGCCCAGAGACATATTCCCAGGTCTTTTTAAATGGGTGCTTAAAATGCAGGACATGAAGCTGGTTTATACTTAAAACAAGCTGTTGAGTCTGCAGGCTTTCGTGGGCCAGGGTCACTGAAGGGTTAGATCCAACAGTTGGAGCCCTGTGGCTGTTGCTGGCACCGGCTCTTAGCGGTGTAGAAACCTGGGTGCTGGGAAATTTACCCTGCTACCCATCTCTGAAGAAGTAGCTCTTCTCAGCTGCCCCCGGTGGAACCATTTGACAGGGTGGTGTGGTGGTTAAGAGTCCCAGGGATCTGGGTTCACATCCCCAGTCTGTTGCCAAAGCTTGCTGGGTGACCTCAGGACTGGCACGCTCTCTCAGCCTGACCTACTTCACAGGGTTGTTGCGAGGATGGAGGAGAGCTCCACTTTAGCTGCTTTGGGTACCTGTTGGGGAGAGAAAAGTGAGGTATAAATAAATCCAGGCAGCATCTGTGCATTTCTGGGTGTTGCGTTATGGTTGTGGTATAACAGTTTAATCACCGGCGAAATCCAGTTGCGAAATGACTGCTGTTGTGCAATGCTACCCCAATATCCTACACTGTGTGGATGAAGCCCATGATAAAATCTGTCAAAATGTTTTAACCTTATGGCCAGCCTTCCAAGAATCATCATTCTCACAATGCAGCTTATAGCTTCTGCTATGTGCATGCATGCATGCATAGGCCAGTTTGATGTAGTGGTTAAGTGTGCAGACTCTAATCTGGGAGAACCGGGTTTGGTTCCCCCCACTCCTCCGCTTGCACCTGGCTGGATGACCTCGGGCAAGCCGTAGTTCTGATAAGAGCTGTCCTTGGAAAAAGAGCCGTTTCTGTCAAGAGCGCTCTCTCAGCCCCGCCTACCTCACAGGGGGTCTGGTGGGGAGAGGAAGGGAAAGGAGTTTGTAAGCCGCTCTGAGAAACCTTTGGGTAGTGAAGGGCGGGGTATAAATCCAATCTCTTCTCCTAAGTTTTATTTCCCAACATTATTAGATAGAGCTTTTTGATCATTTTTTCCTCATATAAGAGTACTTTGTCAATTTCTATTATTTTTGCATAAATTTCTTACAGGTACTTACCTTGTTTGTACAAAAGAGCAAGAGTCCAGTAGCGCCATAAAGACCAACAAACTGTGTGGCAGGGTACAAGCTTTTGTGAGTCATTCCTCCCTCCTTCAGTGACTCACAAAAGCTCATCCCCTGCCACAGATTGGGTTAGTCTTTCAGGTGCTACTGGACTCATGCTCTTTTCTACTGCTACAGACAGACTAACACGGCTGCCCAACTTGGCCTACCTTATTTGTGATTTTCTAGCTATTTCCCAGTGGGTTCCAAACGCTTCCTTTGCCTCCTGTTATCCTTAGAACAGTTAAATTGGAGTCCAGTAGCATTTGAGAGATCAGTAAGATTTTCGGGATACGGACTTTCAAGAGTCAAGGCCTCCCTTCCTCAGATATGTATGAGCGTAGACTCTTGAAAGCTCATAAAAATCCTGTTGGTCTTTTAAGATACAGCTGGGACTCGGATCTCGCTGTTCCACTGCAGACCAGCACAGCTGCAGTCTTGAACTATCTTGTGGGGTAGGTTAGGCTGAGAGCGTAGTTTGGGTGTTACTTTTCTGTGAATTGCTTTGCAGAGGGTTTTTTTTTTTAACAGAGTTTTGTGGGTTGAAAGGGGACCCTGCCCCAAGCAACTTCCACTATAAAATCCAACAGAGGGCAACACTGCACAGGAAGGCCTTATCTCGCTGGGGGTTATCCCTGGTGTGAGGACATTTGGGGTGCCTGCCTCACACTCATGCCCCGGTGTTCTTTTTTCTCTCCCCGCCCACAGAGGTGGTTTGTGGTGCCCCTTCCATCTACCTTGACTTCGCCCGCCAGAAGCTCGATGCCAAGATTGGCTTGGCTGCCCAGAACTGTTACAAGCTGCCAAAGGGGGCGTTCACGGGAGAGATCAGGTGAGTCTTCGGGGACTCTGGGGACCGGAGCCTGCCCAGAAAGGGGGGTGGAGGTCTTGTGGCAGGAAATATCGTGATGGCTTCCCTTCTTTTCCAGCCCAGCCATGATCAAGGATGTTGGCGTCACCTGGGTGATCCTGGGACACTCAGAGAGGAGGCACGTCTTTGGGGAGTCTGATGAGGTGGGTGGCCACAGGAAGTGGTGGCGGCTACAAGCATGGACGGCTTCAAGAGGGAATTAGATAGGCATATGGAGCAGAGGTCCATCAGTGGCTATTAGCCACAAGGTATAGATAGGGGCTCTGGGGCAAGTGATGCTCTGTCATCTTGGTGCTTGGGGGGGGGGGTCAACAGTGGGAGGGCTTCTAATGTCCTGACCCACTGATGGCACAAGGTATTTCTGGCCACTGTGTGACACAGAGTGTTGGACTGGATGGGCCTTTGGCCTGATCCAACATTGGCGTCTCTTATGTTCTTATGACCTCTGGGTTTTCCCCTCCTGTTTCTTCCTTAGCCAGTGCTGATGCTAAAAAGCCCTGGGGTTTGTCTACAGCAGTGATTCTAAATTGGGAGGGAAGGGGAAATGTACCAATCTTGGTGGGCCTTCAGAACTTTAGCTTACAAGGAGGAGGAGAAGAGATTGGATTTATATCCTGCCCTTCACTCAGAGTCTCAGAGTGGCTTACAGTCTCCTTCCCCTCCCCACAAGAGAGAGACACCCTGTGAGGTAGGTGGGGCTGAGAGAGCTCTCTCGAGAACTGCCCTTGAGAGAACAGCTCTGAAAAAACTTGTAACTGACCCAAGGGAACACCAACAGCTGCATGTGAAGAAGTGGGGAGTCAAACCTGGTTCTCCCAGAGTGGGGAAACAAACCCGGTTCTCCCAAATTAGAGTCCCCAGATTACAGTCAGTGGGACTTTTAGCACATCTGGATTTTAGGTGGCCAGTCTCCCTGCTTACAATGGCTCCTGACAGCCAGTGAAGCAGAACTGTACTTTCTCTCCCCTCTCCGAGGATAAATCCTCAGACTTCTCCCCCAGGCTCTTAGAAAACCAGCAGATAGGAACCAAGTCTGAAGTTAAGAAATTGACTGACAGCCATTGGAGGCAACGGTCTCATTAAATGAGACACGAGTAGCCATATGCGTCTGCCAGAAGTAGTGTTGCCTTGTTTTGATGGATGTCCTTAATTGGCCAGTAATTGATAGCTAGCAGGATGTTGCGTATTTCTGGTGGGTGGTGGTAGATCTGAGGTTAAGGACCGCGGGTCTCCAGCCAGGAGCTTTTTCTTTGCCTCTAAGACCCTGTATCTGTTGCAGCTCATCGGACAGAAGGTGGCCCACGCCTTGGCCGAGGGGCTTGGGGTGATTGCCTGCATCGGGGAGAAGCTGGACGAGAGGGAAGGCGGCATCACGGAGAAGGTGGTGTTCCAGCAGACCAAGGTTATTGCCGGTAAGAGGACCCGGCCTTCTGGCTGATGCCATTGCTGGGGGGAGGGTCTCGTTCTCTGTATGAGCCCACAGAGCGAAGCCCATTAGAAGTTCTAATGGTCTGCATGCTCCCGCAGAAACAGTAGAGATCCTCGTGCTGGAGTAGCAGCCGCCGCCACCAAAGCAGCATTTAAAAATATATATATATGCAGAGCCAATCAAATCTTCCAACAGCCAATCAGAATTGTTGCTGGGCATAAGACCCACCCACTTTTTAAAAGCACCCGGTGGGCCCCAGGAAAGGTGTCAGGGGGCGTCATGGGACCCAGGATCTCTAGCCTAGTTTCTCCAGAACTACAAATGATTGGCAGTCGGTCATTTAAGGATGAGCAGGAGGCATCCTGTAACCCCTGGGTCCTTAGAGCTCTGGAGCTCCTTAATATGAACTACCGCCTCCCGTTTCTTTGGTCCCCAAATGTAATTATTTCTGGTATTGACTCCTTCTGATCAGCAGTCGTTCACCTGTCCTAGTAAGATTTAGTGGAATCGAGATTAACAGCTTGTCCTGTGGTATCTCCCCCCCCCCTTTTTTTTAAGGCAGAGTTAAAAGATTTTGAAGTTGGGCAGAAACTCTTGCATGCCTCCCCCCGCAGCCGTCGAGTTCTGTTCACCTGTCTCAGTAGGTGGCATTTCGAATAATCCGCTCTCTCCTCCCCCAGATAACGTGAAAGACTGGAGCAAAGTGGTGCTCGCTTACGAGCCGGTTTGGGCTATCGGGACCGGCAAAACGGCGACTCCCCAGCAGGTATGTTGCGAGAGTGTTTGCAGACCTCCCTTCTGTTGTGAGAGGCGGGACGGGAGGCTGGGGGGAGCCAGAGGAACAGGCAATTCCCGCGAGAACCCCCTTTTATAGCAGCACCTCCTCTCCCGCCCTAAACTGGGCTCGACAGCTGGTGACTGGTTGCCCTGACACCGTTCCTCGGTTTTTGCAGGCTCAAGAGGTCCACGAGAAGCTGAGGGGCTGGCTGAAGAGCAACGTGTCCGAGGCCGTGGCGCAGTCCACTCGGATCATCTATGGAGGTAAGCCGAGCCCTTCCTAATGACAAAAGCCAAGCGTGGCGCAGATTTACCCGCTCATTTCTTCAGGTGTTCATACCCTGCCTTTTCTCTCCAATGAGGACTCGAAGAAGCTTACGGCATTGCTTGCCCCTCCTCTATTTTATCCTCAGAACAACCACCCTGTGAGGTAGGCTAGGCTGAGAGAGTGAGTGACCCCTGATCGGCCAGTGAGCTTCTGTGCCTGAGGGAGGGACTTCCAGATGGTAGAATCAGAGTTGGAATGGACCTCCAGGGTCATCTAGTCCAACTCCCTGCATAATGCAGAAAATTCACAAATACCTCCCCCCCACACCCCCAGTGACCTATGTTTCATGCCAAGAAGATGACAAAAAACCCCTCCAGGATCTCCAGCCAAACTGGCCTTGGAGAACAGCTGCTTCCTGACCCCAAAGTGGCGATTGGTATTTCCCTGGGTGTGTAAGAAAGGGCCACAAGAACTAAGCACTGAGGCAACCTCTCGTGATCTGCCTAAGTTCACAGAATCAGCATTGCTGTCAGATGGCCATCTAGCCTCTGTTTGAAAACATCCAAAGAAGGAGACTCCACCACCTCCCGAGGAAGCCTGTCCCACTGAGGAACTGCTCTGTCAGGAAGTTCTTTGTGACGTTTAGCTGTATAGGATTAACCCACTCAGCCCAGTCCAGGGGTGCGAGGGAATCCTGTATTTCAGAGCACTTTAAAATCCCTGAGACAGTCTGTACTCTCTCTGGTCTTCACAACAATTTGCCACCAGAATCTCTTTTCCGGATGGTTCCCACCTAGCCTAAGGGCAGAGATTCAATCCCTTAGTTGGCATCTGGGACTTACACATTAGCAACTCTAACCAGAGATGCACACTATTTACTCTCACAAAGATAGCTCTGTGTGGTTAGCGTTAGACACGAGATTTAGCCTTGGAGTTCAAGTACAGCATCAGAGACAATTACAAATATGAATGATTTTTATTCAGTGCAAAGCATAGCAAAAAGACTATTAGAGGATACAAAAATAATAAATCCTATGGCTATTTGCCCTTACTACACATTTAAGCAGAAGCATAGTTACCAAGTGAAGTGTCTATAGTCCAAGATTGTCCAGTATAACAGCACATGTAGGCCCCAAGGGATTTTGAAGAGAAATCCCATCTTGTGCAGCAGCTCTTTGTTTCAAAAGTCAGAATTCCCAGGAGCAACAAAACAAGCAAGAGCAGGGGAGAGAAGAGAGACGAGAGCTCTCCCATAGAGACCCACAGAGTTCTACCCCTCTTCCCAGTCATAATTAGCTGTGGCCATCAGCCAATCACGAGCCGTGCTCCATCAGTAAAGCTAATAGAGAAGGGACTCATTTTAGATTGCGAAGTGCCTCGAGGCCAAGACTCTGAAGAGGCAAGATAGCAGTAGTCAAAATAAATACAGGGTGGTTGCAACATTGAGCTTTGAACAGTCGTATGCAGCGGCTCAAAACAGCCTCTGGATCAATCCCCAGTGTCTCAAGCTGCAGGCCTGAAGAAGATCTTCTATTGGAAGTTCTCCAGGAGAGCTACTTCCGGCCACTGACAGGCTAAAGTGGCTATATGGGGCCAGGAAACAGAATTCTGGCAACACAGCCTCCACCCCCACCACCCCCAAATGCAGTTTTCCCAAATCTGATTGCACACCCCTGCCTCTGAACGTCTCTTGCCTGGAAAACGAATGGGATCACCCTGACCTGGATAGCCCAGGCTAGCCCGATCTCGGAAGCTAAGCAGGGGTCGACTCTGGCAAGAACTAGGAAGGGGAGACCTCCTTGGAGTACCAGCAGTCGGGAGGCGGGGGCAGGCTTCATTCAGCCACCTCTCTGAACATCCTCCAGGCCCCCAGCAGGACTCAGCCACCAGAGGTCGCCATCACTTCCAGGTGCGCACACACACTCATGCACACACAACCCCCCCCCCAGTAAATACCAAAGAAAAAATGAAACCACCACCTGTCCTGGAGTGAGAAACACAACTATCGGACAGGAAAGTAGCCTGCCTGCTCCTATCTGGTTCTGGTTCTGTACTCTACAGTCCCAAAATGGCTTCCAAAGAAAAGTGAGGGGGAAACATATTGTCAAGTTTGTGAGTAGCTGGCCCCTGAGAAAGTCGCTGCAGGGAAAACGTCTTTTGAAGGTCCTTTTTTCTGTTGTGTTCTCCTCGGGACCTTTCTTTCAGCGGGGTTTATTCCTTCCAGGTTCAGTCACCGGCGGCACCTGCAAAGAACTGGCCTCCCAGGGAGACGTGGACGGCTTCCTCGTGGGCGGGGCCTCCCTCAAGCCCGAATTCGTCGAAATCATCAACGCGAACCACTGAAGTCCGCCTGTGGAGCCTTAAGTCTCAGCAGGAGGGAGGGGAAATGGCCGTCGCGAGGAGGAGACCCACACTGTCATGAAGCAGACACAAAGAGCTGCGCCCCACCCCCCTGCACTCGGGTTCGAGGGCGCCACCTTCCAGTCCCTCTTCCACCTACGCTTACTATAATTTGTCCGACGCTGCTGCTAAATACAACCGTTGCCAAGCCATGTTATTCGGTTAGCCGTGAGCCTTTTTGAAGGCAGGAAGGTAGTTTGCTTGCCCCAGGCTAGTACCTGGGGCCTCCTGCCGTCCAAGTTCCCTCCTCCGAGGCCGGTCAGTTTTGCCAACTGGTGATGCCTGTCCTGTGTTACAAGGCCCGCCTCCCTTGCTGAGGAAGGGGCGCAGCCTCAGTTCAGCTGGGGGGAGGGGGTTTGTCTGGCAACTGCCGGTTCACACTGGTGTAAATTGTCTGTCTGTTCTGTCTCTCTCCCCCTGCCAACAAAGCCAACCACAAAGAGAATAAACAAAGGGAAAGCAGATTGTGTGAGAGTGACTCTTGAACTTGGGTGGTAAAGTATGTAATGGTTACCCCCCCCCCCCCGAGTACCCTAGGGGTAAAGCAGGGTCAGTTAGTAGAGAAGAAGAGATTGGATTTCTACCCCGCCCTTCACTACCCAAGGGGGTCTCAGAGCGGCTTACAATTTCCTTTCCCCTCCCCACAGCAGACACCCTGGGAGTAGTGTTCCCTCTGAGTGAGTGTGAGCTAGCTCACAGTTTTTTAGCCTCCGGCTCACACATTTTTGTCTTAGCTCAGGAAGGAGGGCTCCAGAGCAAACTAATTGATGCAGTAGCCAAATCGCTCGCTCACAACTTTAATGCCAGTAGCTCACAAAGTAGAATTTGTGCTCAGAAGACTCCACAGCTTAGAGGGAACATTGCCTGGGATAACATGAGGAAAATGTAACGTGTTCTTAGGCCTTAGACTGCTCTCCCACACACTCTCGCCTCCCACGTTTTTAGGCGAACAGTGGCCCTGGTCGCACTGGAGGATTTGTCCCGCGAGAGGGTCGGATCAGGGGCGCATCAAGCAGGCGCAATCATACCGCAACGGATGGAAAGCGGCGTGCACCCGTCCCCGATCCGTCCCTTCTGGGCAAAGACGCAGCTCAAAAAGGTAGTAGCAAAACAGACTCCATGGGGCACAAGACTCCATGGCTTAAGGGAGCATTGCCTGTGAGGTAGTTGGGGCTGAGAGAGCTCTGAGAAGAACTGCTTATGAGAGAACAGCTCTGGAAGAACTTGTGACTAAACCAAGGTCACACCAGCAGCTGCATGTGGATGAATGGGGAATCAAACCCAGTTCTCCCAGGTTAGAGTCCGCACTCTTAACCACTACACCAAACTGGCTGCCTTGTATTTAGAATACCAGGGTTTTATTTATTTTTATTTATTTATCTTTGGATTTGTAACCCGCCCTCCCTGAAGGCTCAGGGCAGCTCACAAGGGGCACAGGTGCCCAAGTTAAAACATTAGAAGCAGGGCTATTTTTGGGCAGGAACGCACAGGAACGGCTGGCTCCCAAGTTGGCCACGCCCAGCAGGAACTCATTAGCATAATAGGCCACACCCAACAGCAGGAACTCATTAGGATTGGCTACATTAGGGGTGTGTGGCCTAACATGCAAAGGAGTTCCTGCTACAAAAAAAGCCCAGGGTTTTGACAACAAACAAGGTAAACAGAATAAGAAGCAAAAGGTGGGTGTGGCTGGATGACCACACTTCTGGTAACATGGGGGTGCGGCCTAATGAGCTGTGCTGGCAGGGGTGTGGCCCAATATGCTAATGAGTTCCTGCTGTTGGGTGTGGCCTATTATGCTAATGAGTTCCTGCTGGGCTTTTTCTACAAAAAGAGCCCTGAGTAAATATAAAATACAATAAATACAGTTAGCTAAAAATTTCTTTACGGTGCTCCAGAAATATGTAGCTATAAAATTCATGATGGGGTTCTATCATTATTGCGATGTGGAGGCAGACAGTGAATGTCTCGTGCCTTGACAAACCCGCGGGGTTGCCGTAAGTCAGCTGGGATTTGACGGCACTCTCCACCACCACAACCCAACCGCTACTCCCCACCTTTTCCCTTTTTGCCGCCAAGTCACAGTCGACTGCGCGTGAGACCCTTTGGGGTTTTCAAGGCAAGAGCTGGTTTGCCCTGGCCTGCCTCTACGTGGCAATCCTGGGCTTCCTTGGTGGTCTCCCATCCGAGTATTTATTTATTTATTTATTATTTAGATTTTTATCCCGCCCTCCCCGTAGGCTCAGGGCTGACCCCACTTAGCTTCCGTGATCTAATGAGATCAAGCAGGCATGGGCTATCCAGGTCAGGCCCCTTTCCTGTATTGGTTTGTGGGAAAAACATCTGTTGGCTTCAAAACAGTTGTGTACAGCGGTGTCAGCCTCGGGATGGGGCTGTCAAGTTTGGGAAGAGACGTTTGGTGCCTAGAACTTGTTTGAGAAAGTGCTTGCCGTGGTTACCTGCAGTCCTTTTCCCCTCCTTGAGCCTCCTTTTTTCCTGATGGCTGCAGAGTTGTGTGTGTGTGTAAGAAATGAGGCTGCCACACTGAACCTATGCTACGGACGAGACCCAAGAGTTCATCTTCTGTGTTTTATTTACCCTGATGGAAGACTTGTAAGATGTTCTCTTTTTCTGGACAGCATACCCGAGGGGAAAATATTTGTTTACAAGTATGTACGTCATAATTACTGTATGGCCTTGTGTATGGAATACCCAGGAGATCCTTAAGATTGTCCGGCAGCCGGAAGGTCTAGCTCTTTTAGTGTTATGCCACCACTAGGTGGCGAGCTAGACTTGTTTTTGAGGTGAGAGGTGTTTCGGAGGTCGTTTGCCACTGCCTGCCTCTGTGTCACGCCCCTGATGTTCCTTGGAGGTCACCCATCCAAATACTAGCCAGGGACTACCCTGCTTAGCTTCAGAGATGTGACGGGATTGGGCTAGCCTGGCCTATCCAGGTCAGGGCACGAGGATGTACAATGATAAGTCTTTTCTCTACTGGGAAGGGGTGTCCTGCAGCCAGGGTAAGCTTTTGATTCTCCTCCTTGGGTTTAGATGCTGGGCCTTGAGGGTTATGTAAGAGAGTCGAAATAAGGCTCCAATCTAGAGTATTATGAAGAACTTGACCTGTCCTGTGCACGGTAGCCTGACCTTGGAAGCAAAGCTGGGTGGGTCCTGTTCTGTATTTGAACGGGAGACTGCCAGGGTTTTGCCACAGAAGCAGGCGATGGGCAAACCACTTCTGGACATCTGCCTTAAAAACCCTCCGGGGTTGCCATAAGCCAGCTGTGACTTAATGGGGACCGGGGGAGACAAGTTCATTACGGGTGAGTCTTCTGTGAGCCAGAGAGCCCTCCTTAAGTTTTATCCTCACAAGAACGCCCCTGTGAGTTAAGCTAGTCAGAGGGTGTGCTACGGTCACCTAGGAATGCCAACTCCCAGGTATGGCCTGGTGGTCTCCCAGAAGTAAAATTGATCTCCAGAGATCCTTTCCCCTGATGGAGAAATGACAACTACCGGGGGGGGGGGGGGTTGGGGCGTACCACACAATCCCGGCAAAAATCCTGCTGAGCGCTCTCCTGCTCTCCAAACTCTTACCACCGTCGGTCTCCAGATCTCCAGGAATTTCTCAAGCCAGAGTTGGCATCCATGAACAGGTCTGGAATATCATGGAGTGCCTTTGGATCATGGGACCTTTACCCCCCCTTCAGTTCTTTAAGCCAAGGCCAGGAGTCGGATCTAAATTTTAAAACTAAAGGGCGTGTGTGAAAAATCTCAGAGAAAAATAGCCATAAAGCAAAGAAGTGTAACACCTAGGACCATCTGGGTGCCTGATGTTATCAAATTATGAAGAAGAGATTGGATCTACACCCCTGCCCTTCACTACCTGAAGGAGTCTTAGAGCGGTTTACAATCTCCTTTCCCTTCCCCTCCCCACAACAGACACCCCCTGTGAGGTCGGTGGGGCTGAGAGAGCTCTTGAGAGAACAGCTCTGAAAGAACTTGTAACTGACCCAAGGTCACACCAGCAGCTGCCTGTGGAGGAGTGGGGAATCAAACCTGGTTCTCCCAGATTAGAGTCCGCGCTCCTAACCACTACACTAAGGTAATGTGGTTGCTCAATTGCTTGTCATTGACTAAAATACCAATGCAGTGGGTAAGGATGAAGTCCCACATTGCCTCCCTTTTTTAAAGGTGTAATGGTAGGTTACCACCTTGAACCTGAAGACCTTTAACCCCAGTTGCCAATTACTCAATCTCCCCCACTTATTAAACTGCTTGCGTCATACATAAAAGGTGTGTACATTCTGGGAAACCTTTGCCCTGATTGGGCCAAGAGAAAACTTACTCCTGAGCTTTTCTCTGTTTTTTATCCTTTGGATTTGCCCGGAGAGTGCCTGGCTCAAAGGTAGCTCCATGGCTGAGCTAGCATTTGAATCCGGGGGCTCCCTCATTTAGGACTCTCTCCATTACCTTCACTTTTTTGAAGAAAAAAAAACTGCAGAAGGCATATCAGTCCCCAACCTTTTTGAGCCTGCGGGTTCCTTGGGAATTCTGGCACAGGGTGATGGGCAGAACTACAAAATGGCTGCCACATCTTTTTGTTAACTCTTGTATTTATGTGCTAATTTGCTATCCATTGATCTTACTGGCCACCTGATCCAATTTCGGCTCTGCATAGGCATCTTGGTTCTGAGTGGCCCCTCCTAATGGCTGCCCCCTCTACCCTCCTTTTTCCCTATAAGTAACCCTTGAGGTTTTATTCCATTTGTCAGAAGAACACATTTAGAGCCCAGTGGCACCTTTAAGACCAACAAAAGGGTTAGGTTTATTCAAGGTGTGAGCTTTCGTTTTGTTCTACTGCTTCAGACCAACACAGCTAAACACCTGGAACTATAGAAATGGAAGGAGCAATAGACCAAGGATTACCTTCCATTTCGATGTATCTGAGGAAGTGAGCCTTGCACACGAAAGCTCACACCTTGGATAAACCCAGGGGTCATTCCCTGCAGGAGCGCACAGGAGCGGAGCTCCGGCAGTAAAGAGCCCAGGGGGTGGGCACATGCAACAAGCCCTGCCCCCTGCTCCCAGCAGCCCTCAGCCAGAGCAAGAAGCAGCCAGGTAAGCTGCAGAGCCCCGGCCCCCCGGTCCAAAACAGTCCAGTGGCGCCTTTAAGACCAAGTCTTATTCAGGTACAAGCTCTCCCTCCTCTGCGAGGACAGATCTGCACGTTTCCCCCACCCCCCAAAAAAGCTAGCAATCCTGAGCGGTGGGTGTTGCCTTCTGACACACTTCCAATGATGTCAGGGGGTGTGGCATGTGCAAATAAGTTATGCTAATGAATTACTTTGCAAATAATTTTTGCTAAATTGCAAATAATTTATGCTAATGAGCTCCTGCACCTCTTTTTCTACGAAAGGACCCCTGGATAAACCTTTGTTGGTCTTAAAGGTGCCATTGGACTC